TCCCTCGCTTCATGAGCTTTTCGTGAATGGGTCTGATGAAATGCATAGCATCCAACCCCTCGTCAGATTTGCTCACCGGGCACAGGAAACGGTCCAGACTGTTCTTCATGAAAAACCATACGCTTTCTATACTCTTCCTCACAGCGACCCAGCTCGTGCGCGGCGGCATCTGCTGGCGCCGGCAAGTGTTCGTCGCGCAGATGCTTCACAAAGTCAAGGTGGTTGTCGCAATTGAAGCCACACAACTCACAAGCCATCATGCTCGCTGATAAAGGAGTCCGATAGAAAACACGCCGGCTCTCTGCATTTTGCAACTGCCCACCCGGAATGTAATAATCTTTCATCTGCCGGGTGGACCAGATTTGCGGGAAATGTTTTTCCCAATACTGCTGCTCGGCAGAGCGCATCCTTTGGTTGCCGGGTAAGAGAGTCTTCTGCCTAATGCGGCGAACTTGTTGGGCAAGAGCATCGGTCGGACTCTTCGGTCCTCGAGCAGGAAGTTCCCCTGTATCCAAAAGACATTGTTGCACTGCATTGAAAACAGCGGCATGACGCGGGTTCCATAGAAATGGGCCAAACTCCGGCACCGCTTCCCAGGCAACCAGCTGGGTCTCTTGCAAAGCGGCCGCATAATCGATGATGCGACCTGCTCTGTCCCGTCGCACTGCAGCAAAGCGACGCTTGCGAACTTGAACCAGCCCAGCATGCAAACGTTTCTCTTCCGCTGAGCGACCGGCACCAACAGCAGGAGGCAGGCTACCAGTCCTTGCAACATAACTTTGCAGCTCAGCGCGAAATGCACGGGTATCGTCCAGATCATCCAGCCCATCCAATGAAAGACCTTCCAACTCCTGACAACCAACTTCATATTGTTTCAAAACCCAAGCAACACAAGCTGCTCTGAACTCTTGAACTGCCGATCCGCTGTATCTCTGCACAGCATCTTCTTGCAACGCAACACACCGATGAAAGAGCTCGACCACTGACACCTCATCCAAAAAAGTAGCCAATCCGCTTTCCACTGCAGCATTCCAGGCTTCACCATTGGCAATGAAGATCTCAGCAAATTGGCCCCTCAACTCAGAACTGACTGCTGATGGGCATGCAACCAGACGATGCCAGCGCATAGCAAGCACATCCTCAGCTCGATTGGCATCAGTCTGGGAATGGAACCGCCTTGGCAATCGCTGTGCCGCCAGAAAAAAATCATGGACTGCAATACATACAGGCATGTGGCCATCATCTGCCTCCATGTCGGCCGCACCAAAGATAGCAGTGTAGCTTGACAGCAAGTCTTCGCTCACTGACGCCTTCTCAGCCATGAGGCGATCCCACCGCTGAGCGAGTGCATCCTCTGCTCGCTTCTCGTCACTGTCCCCCACTTGCCGCTTCGGCAACCGATGGGTTGTCTGAAAAAAATCCGAGACGGCAACACATACAGCCAGATGACCATCGTCTACTTCCATCTCCGCCGCACCAAAGATAGCAGTGTAGCTTGACAGCAACTCTTCGCTCACTGATGCCTTCTCAGCCATAAGGCGATCCCACCGCTGAGCAAGCGCATCCTCTGCTCGCTTCTCGTCACTGTCCCCCACTTGCCGCTTCGGCAACCGATGGGTTGTCTCAAAAAAATCCGAGACGGCAACACATACAGCCAGATGACCATCGTCTACTTCCATCTCCGCCGCACCAAAGATAGCACTGTAGCTCGACAGCAACTCTTTGCTCACTGACGCCTTCTCAGCCATAAGGCGATCCCAGCGCTGAGCAAGCGCATCCTCTGCTCGCTTCTCGTCACTGTCCCCCACTTGCCGCTTCGGCAACCGCCGGGTTGTGTCAAAAAAATCCGAGACTGCAATGCATACAGCTAGGTGGCCATCATCTACCTCCACATCGGCCGCAGCAAATATGCGTTGATACTCATTCAACAATTCATTGGGAAGTGACGCTTTCTGCTCCAGAAGACGGTCCCAGCGTCGTGCCAGCGCATCTTCTGCTCGCTGCTCCTCCGTTGTCATATTTTGCCTCCGAGGTATGCGTCCGTGCAAATCAAAAAATTTCAAAGTATCATCGCAAACACCACGGCGCCAATCATGCTTTAACAGATGCAGCAGCTTCAGCTTCTTCAGTTTGGCATATAAAGAGCGACTGCTTGGCAGATCAGCATGCTGCGATGGCATCTGCCCATGCTCTGCCAGAAATTGCTCGAGCTCAGCACGAACGATATCCGCCTTCTCCGCATCTGATTTTTTCTTTGGCGGGAAGAGTGGATAATAATATGAAAACGGCAAGAGCAAGAACCACACGGGACACCGCCACGACGTAGTCCAACCAATCTTCGACAAAATTCCGTTGCAAAACATCATGACCAACATGAATGTGTATCTTTGACACGTCCAGTCGCTGTCCGCATGCAAGCCCAAAAGTCGTGCGAAAACAATCGTCAGCCCACATAACACCTCAGGTACGCAGGGAAGAAAAGAAACTTTCCAACAGAAGCGGCAAAATCGTACCACCGTCATCTCCCACTCGCAGGCTGCAATCACAGAAACATGACTCTAGCGACCACTGAAGCATTGCTCACAAAGGAAAACCAACACAACTGCGCTAGACAGTCCCCTTGCAGCATATGCATTCGGAGAATTGCAATCGAATCAACATGCCCAGTCATCACTGCGTTACATGAAGCCAAGGCACTGCGATGTCATCCGGGTTTTCGATTATCATGCAGTAGTATGGCACACGTTGCACAAACTCCAGAAGCAACGCCTCTTGCCCCAGCAAACCATGCAGATATCTCAGCTGCACACAGCGCAGAAAGCTCGGCAGCAGCACCGCAGCAAGGACACCGAGCAGCATAGTTAGCGGCAGCAGCAGCGCCAAGCAGCAGCCGCAAGCCGCGACAAGCCAGAGCGTAGCAGCAGCAACATACCGCGCGGCACGCCCTCGCAAGCAGTTCTGGCGCGCAAGCTTACGCCATTGCAGCGCGGACCGGCGACCCGCCATATTAAAAAAAAGACAGATCTTCAACAACATCGCTATCAACCTTCATGCCTGCATAAGCACCACTTCCGTGCATGCGACATTTGCTTGCATATCTCTCACGATCATTCGAAATGTCTAGATCTTGCAAATTTTCCTTGATCTAACAACATTCCTCATGAACTGTGACTGCTTAACGTTCTCTTGCTATTGAGCCCAGCCGAAATGTTTGCCGACACAGAACCAAAAATATATAAACAACACTGTGTGAAATCTGGATGAGTCCACACAGCAACTTTCCACCTTCAACATAATCGCACTCTTGCCATATATTTACAAACCGCAAGCCTCACTGAACCAACAATCTAGTATATTCAAAATTTGAAACCTTGGCAAAGGAGACATTTTGCAATTTCCCGTATAGACACGGCGACGCCACAGGACAACCAAAGACTCGAAACGAAACTCGTAAGTGCAGAAAAACGAACATTTCATGCGAGACTTCATCCAATTTTAACATTTTCGTCGCGTTATCAAACAGGTTGGAATGTCACAAAGTGCCACGCCTGCCATGCAAAACGACATGACAACCTGCATGGAAACATTCGAAAAGGAGATGTTTTGCCGCTTCCCCCATAGACACAACGACGCCACAGGAAAACCAGAGACTCGAGACAAGACACGTGGATGCAGAAAAATCAGCATTTCGTACGAGACTTCCTCCAATTTTCATAGTTTGAAACATGCCGCAAGAACATGTTTTCCAGCTTCCCCCATAGACACGGCGAGGCCACAGGGAAACCAGAGACTCGAGACGAGACACGTGGGAGCACCAAAACGAGCATTTCGTGCGAGACTTCCTCCAATTGTCACACTTTGTAGCTTCAAAATCGACGTTTTCCTACGAGTTTTCCTTAGAACGTGAAAATTTGCAACCTCAAAATCGATGTTTCGTGCGAGGCTTCCGTCAATTTTCAGCACATGTCAGAAAATGCCACGCCTGCCACGGAATTTGCACCTTGTCGCCACTTGACGCAGCCCTGCCAATGCGATTTGCAAAAAACACGCAACATGACACGTCTAAAGTGCTGCGCCTGCCACGAAAAATGGCGATGGACACGTCCAAAGTGCTGCGCCTGCCACGAAAACTGCAACACATCTTCTGAAAACGTCGCAAAAGTATTGCGCCTGCCACGCAAAACGACTTTCGACACGTTCCAGAACACGTCTGAATGTCACGAAGTGCCACGCCTGCCACGCGAAACGAAGCAACGACACGTCTGAAACCTCCAAAAATGACCACCTCTGCAGAACTTCCCATAGGCACGGCCATACGGTCCTCGCGCGGACGGTTGCGAACGGTTGCGAACGGTTGCGCTCGCGAACGCAACGTCGAGCGAACACACCCTCAACCCCCAGACCCCCAGAGTGAAACGGGAACCCTTGCTACGCATTCGGGAAAAGATGTAAAAAGCGTACAAAGTTGTCCTAGCATTCCATGGCAGTCTGTGGGCGTCGCTGCAAGAGCTGTAGGAGTTGAAAACGCTGCTTGTCAAAATCTACGAGGCAGGCCTCTGAACATTTTGGTGTTGGATCATGTACTGTATGGGCAGTGGCAGATAGTGGCAGTGTACCGGATTGACTTTCGGTGGCCGGACTTTCGTTCATGCCCCGCCCTCGTCGCGATTGCAGCTTTGTCAAGTAGCGAAGTTTCACAAGAGTTGGACGCAAACCGTCATGGTGTCCCCTTTACTCTGCAGCTCCGACTCATCGCATTTTTTGGCTCTATATGGCTCTATGCTTTCCAGCTGCTAATGCAGCCGGAGGTCTATTCGGTCTTTTCCGCGTCACTTCTTGGACGGTTTGGCGTTCAGCTACACATCTGAGTCTTTTCTTCACATATCTTTCAGCTTCAAATAGAAGGCAATAATCTGCAACATTGACGAAATACATTTGAAAGACAAGAGTATCAGTGCACTGGGTATTGTACGTAGAGTACAACACTTGTCAAATAGTAACTGTAACAACACTTGAAGTTCTGTGAAAAGGGTCAAAATTGCCAGCACTTTGCAAAGTGGCTACCTCGGCTACCTCAATTTGAGGTCGGTGAGACGGCGTTGCCGGCGTCGCCGGCGTAGCGCTGAGCTCAGTCTTCGGAATCGTCATCATCGTCGTCCTCCTTGGACTCGGCTTCAGCGGCCTTGGCCTTGGCCTCCTCGGCCTTGGCATCGTCCTCCTCCTTCTTCTTGGCCTTCTCTACCTCACTCAGGGTCTTCCACTTCGCAACAAACTTGTCAGCCTCTGCCACATCATCGGTAATAATCACCTTGGAATCAAAGTGTCCAAGAATTTCGGATATTTGGGGCAACTTCTGAAGAACACAAGGCTGTTGGCAAGTTGCGTGGTCCAACGCGACTTGACTATCTCTACTTTCTATGACACATCAATTCCCCACGACTTTTGCAAAAATACACGACTTTGACTCTTTTACCCCCGGCAAGTCAGAACCCCTTGGAAATTGGGCCTAGGTGAAAATGACCACACATGACCACACATACTGTGTACATCTGTGTACCCAGTGATGACTTGTCTATTGGATTGTGAAAACTATGCCTGCAAGACTTTTTTCTGCAATTACCGCATGACCACATGCGATTTGTGCAGTTCTGCCCCCGTCAATCTCTGCTTTGCATGGATGTATTACACTTTTGTCATCACGTTTCGCATTCCGTGTCAACAATTTTTGGTCCATTTGAGGTTCCATCTACTGTACAAAAATGCGACGCAGCATGATGATCTCCAAGATCTCATTTTTTTCCAAAAACTTATCCTCGCAAATAAATGCGGAGGAAACAAACAAACTCATGCAGTTCTTATCAGTTCTTTGTATGTAGCAAGTGAAATTTATACAACATTCACTGTTGAACTTTTTTTGGGTGCCAGCACAACTTTGGCAATTGCTTGCCATATAGTTGACCGTGAGCGCATATTTACAATGTCCTCAATTACTCAATTCTTATATGTAACCATTTCATCTGGAACGTCTAGGGCATGCATTAATATAGACTGCATGACCAAGGTGCGATGTGTACCCGCATGCCTTTCGCATGTGTCATCATGTTTTTTTGCACTCGTGGCAACATGTTTTGCATACGTGCTTTTGAGCACTTGAGTGATAAAGTATGATAAAGTTGCGATAATTGGTGCTTTGCACGTATACCATGTTGATGTTTTAGCCCAAATGACCACACTAATACATACAAAGTCTATAGTGTGCAGCTATCAGCTAGCCAATTGCCAATTCAAATCCTAAAATATAGTGCAACAGGCTGAGGAACGGGTTGAGCCATGTGGTGGAAGTAGGGCCGAAACAATTGTAATCACGTGTGAGAGTTGCGCGGCATACCTCATGCCTGAAACGGACTTGTGATCACTTGCCACATGCACATTGCTGAAGGCACAAAAACCGAGTAAATTGATGTAAACTGGTGATCTCTGTAGAGCATGTGGTTGTGGGAAAAACATGGAAAAGGCGTTTAGACATGTTTAAACATGTTTAAACAGTTTCCTGTCTGGAGTGTGTTGCAGCTATGAAATTGGACCATATTCGGTGCTAGAGTTCCTGAGGTAATTTCTTGGTTGGATGGTTGGAAGCACATGTGAAGCGTGTGTCTTATCTTTTTTCAAGGTTTGAATCCTTGTTACCGGAATGCCCGGGAGCAACTGCTGCGTGACCAACATGTCACATGTCATTTGTGCATGCCTGTGCGTTTGTGTCTGTCAAGTTCCATGAACACTGGTCGCATCTGCCACCATACATTCGTGCACTAAAAATGTGCCTGTGCCTGTGCCTGTATGTCATTGTCTTCTGCACATTCCCGAAAATTTAGGGAACACGTGTGATTTTTGAATCAGTGTTTTCTGGTCGACTGCTATGTGCATAGCGCTCCTTAAGGTTTGTGCAAATTGATTGGTAGACACCAAAACTTAGGGCCTGTCTAAAACTCAAAACATCTCAAAACTATAAGTGCCTTTTTGAAGGTTGTGTGAAACTAGCGCGACTTTCGTCAGTCCCCCACACGACCAGGTTTCCAAGGCACATTATCAAAAATGGTGTTGCCCTTCACCTGCCACAAGTCAAAACCAATGAAGCCAAAGTCATCGTACTTGTACAGGGTGTCGTCATCGACGAATTCAGGGTTGGCAATCTTCTTTGCCTCCCAAACGCCCTTGTAGGCTGGGTTGGAGATGCGCTTCACAGTCCACTCACCCTTGTACTCGGGATTGTCGATCATGGGAGCCTCCCATTCACCATCCTCTTCATCATCCCAGTCATCAGGTTTCTTGGCCTTTTCATCTACGATTCGCTTCTCTTCCACCCAATCATCAGGCTTCTTGTCGTCAGGATCATTCATCATACTATCATCCACCCAGTCACTGGGTTTCTTGTCCTCAGGATCCTTGATCTCCTTGGGAGCCAACAACTCCCAGTCCTCCTTCAGAGATCCTTCATAGATCTTCTCACCATCAATTTCGACGCGTGCAGTGTTGTCTGGCTTCAACACAAGCCTGTAGACATGGGAAGTGCCTTCACCTTCCTGCTTGTACGCCAAGTCAGACTTTTTCAGGACGTTCTTGCCCTTGTAATTGAAGATCAAGTGAGTACGCTTGGTGTAGCCACACTTGTCCGGGCCGAACATGATGTTGTAAGGCGTCGGATCACCAAAGGTGGTGGGATCACTGAGCTTGGGGCCAATCTTGACGTATCCACCACCGCACTCGATGTCCTTCTCGTATTTGGCCTTCAGAAAATATGAGGACAAAACAACCTACGACAAACATAGCTCGTTGGCACTTGAAACACTTCAAATGATGATCTCTGCAATGATCTCTGCGTGTGTTGTCCAGTATCATTCAGTATCGGTAGTGTGACTTTGTTGAAATATGTTGAAATGATGAACGAAACTAATGAATACTAAAACTTAATGAAACGTTAGGCAGCGTTTGGATGCGGATTGTGATGGGATTGCGAGGGTCCTGGTACTGAATGATGAGATCCTTTCCGGCGTTGCTGAAGGAATCAAAGCCCGCAGAGAGGCCGAAGAATCGGGAGTCCTGCAGCGCACTGGCGCAGCACTGCGAATTCAGCGAGTGGAGTGCACTGCTCTGCCACCCTTGGGACACGGAAAGACTTAGCCGCTTTAGCCCAAACAAATCCAGAGCATTCCAGAGACCACGGCTCCTCAGCAGTTTGGATGCCTTGATCTTCCTTCTCATCACCTTGGCAATACTTGGCCCGCTGTCAGAGTTACCTGTAAAATCTGCAAATGATCAAACACGAACGTTGATCCAGTTTTAGGCAAAACAAATCCGTCTTAAGATGCCTTGAGTCTTCAGTTCCCATCCACAAGATCGATGATGGATGATGATGATGATGATGATGGGATCTTCAGCTGCTTGTCAAGTAGCTGAACCACTTGCCGGCTGAAGCTTTCCAGGTGCCCTGTGCACGGGTACACGGTGCGCTGTGGGCTGATCAGAATTTGGGATCCAAAGGTTGTTGGGAACCCAGTCGACTAAAAATCAAATAGTCCGATCTGGATTGCAATTGCAGCGACAGAGTCATCAGCAAATCTTCTGTTCACCTGAGTGCCGTCGCTCTTCTTCCACTCACTGGGGGTCCTGCACGTCAATCCAGGTGTTGTACATCTGATGTGATGAAAGTAATGACGAAAATCGTACCAGTTCTTGGATTTCTTGAATTTCTGAGGCAATCAAATGGGCATTTCTGCAATTAGAATCCTCAAAATCACCTACCCGACCTACCCGCTTCTGAAAGATCCCAAGGGTCCAGCGGCTCTCCCATCCATCTCCGAAGGTCTCAGAGAAATAGATCTTGCCTGGGAGCCATTTTGTGGGCAAATTTGCTCAGGCTTTTTCTCTTTTTCGTGATTCCACACTTATTGACCAGTGGCAAATACAGTAGCCTGGCAAATAGATGCGAATATTCCGAATATTTACGAATAGGAAATTCTACATCATTGCAACTTCAACAAAGCACTGCGTTGACAGGTACGCTTGGTGTCCAGACCACTGGCAGTGGCCAAAGCACTCAAACACAAGGCACGGCGCATGGCTTTCAGCTAACCTGGCCCAACATTTCGATTTGCTGATGCGCAAAATTGCAATTTTATGGGAAAAATGAATGAACATGATGATGAACCACATGTTATTCATTTTTTTGAGCCGCAATATTTTCAGACAAACCGATATCAAGCAACTCAGTATGAATCTCTCAACGTCCCTTCCCCGCCTCTATCTCTGCGGGGTGCTTTCAAGGCGTTTGTTCTTCGCTGGCAAAACTGTCTGAAAACAGTGGAAGCTGAAAATCTCTCAGTTATAAGTGCTGAACACCTCACCGCCATGATGCCATGTCATGATCTCATATCATGAGCTCACAGAATCTCACAGATACCTTGCAAAGAAAGATAACAAAAGACAAAAGAAACCTGCGTGGGGCAACTCAGTCTCAACCTAGGAACATGAAGTCACTACGTGCGGCTGCAAAAATGATGACCAGCTGACCAGCTTTTTTCAACCTGATGGATCTCCAAGCGGAGGGAAGTTCTCCCACTCCGTGACGGAGTTGCATCATGACTCAATACGGTAACCGTATTTTACGACACACATCAGATCTCATCAGCTTTACATCTTTAATATTCTTTAATCATCTTTACACCAAATGACCACATGGAGTGTCCATGCTCACTTGTTGAAACCATCAGATCTGATCAGATCTTATCATGTAGATCTGATGCAGGTCCACTAGATCCACATGTATATGCACAAGGGTGAGACTAAGAGGCTGCCAGATGCTGCCAGCACCACGTGGCATGCGTCATTGGACGCTATCCCATGGGGTGAAGGCTGCGGACATTTGCTAATGGAATGCCAAGCAAAAGCTTTTGAAAAATATGTTCAAACGTTCAACAACCGTTCAACTGATAGTTGAAAAATATTGAACATATTCCAGGTCCAAAACAATTTCTTCGAGCAAGGACTCAAGGGTCAGCAAGAATAGTCTCCTTCCGAAGACATGACCATGCTTGCCTCGTCTTGAAGCAGGATCATGTTCTGTCACTCTGGAAATAACAGCACCGCAGGAAACGGAGCAGGGCAAACGTTTGAGTCTGTGCAAACATCTATCTGTCAATCCATCAATCCTGATATATGACCCAATCTGGTCTAGTAGTCCATTTGCCCATCTGATTGTCAGTCCACCTATATAAAATATATCTAGATACGTTGCTTTTGACATACCTGGTCGAATCTCTCCTATCTATCTGGGTAAGTCGATCAGTCTGTCCAAATTACGGAACAAAACGATGTGCGACATCCATTTACCAGCAAACAGAAACAACCTTAAAGTGATGTGATCTCTTTGTCCACCTATTCATCTGTCTATTTCCATCTCTTTCCATCTATTTCCTATCCAAAGTCTGAAATGACTGGCAGTGACTGGCAGTGACTGGCAGCGGCTTGAAGCTGAGCTGCACCAGGCGGAGGTACATAGATAGGTCGCACCACCTGCCAGATCCCCGGATCAACGAAACGTTCCCGGACTCCCGTCCCTGGACTTCCAGGGACTCCCAGAGACTCCCGGCCTTCCGAAGGACACTCTCCTTGGCACGTGCCTGGAGGTAGAGTATGACAAGAATATGAAAAGAATTGAAAAGATATGAACAAATCAGAGATATGAAACGCGTTTCAAGCTCGCGTTTCAAGGTGTTTCAAGGTTGGTCAAAGGGTGATATCTTTCAGGTTCAGCTGCTCGTGTCCCGCATCAATGTCTGCCACCAAATAATGTGATTCCTTCTGATGTCATCTTTGCATGATAAAATTTCTGTACTGTACCTAAATCAGAAAAAGGTGTGCATTGCCCTAGTCAAGTCGTGAAGCAAAGCTGCCTTCGCATATTCTTCTTTGATCCTCTCTTGCATGTATCTCTCCTGAACCTGGCGTGGCCAACCGAAAAGTTTCAACTGCAACATGCTATTGAAACATTTTGGACCTATATTCAAAACTGACAAGACTTCTAAAATAGATTAAAATAGCACGATCAAATATCTTCAAAGATCTTCCAAACATCCAAAATGTTTGACGTGGCAATTTCACTTCGGCAGCTGTGCCTTGCCCAGGAATTCGCCGTTGGCATCGCCTGGTGTGTCCTGGAAACTGTCGGGTCTGTTTGGAAGCAAGAATAACAATGCCGTGTCTGGCAAAGTTTGGCCAACTGTTGCAATATGTTGAAACTACATTAAATATCATTTAATATCATAATTATGAATGATAAATTTTAAAGGTGTTTGAAGATGCATAAATCCGCCGGCCTGCCGGCGTGTCTGATTGTGAGGTGTTGTTCTTCTGTTTGTTCTTGTTTTGTATTTGTTTCTGTTTTTGGCTTGTACTTGTTCCTTTGTTCTCTCCGCGGGCAGCTTTGCCTCGTCTGATTTGAGTCCACCCCCCCCTCCCCCCTTGTTATTTATTTTTGTTTACGTATCTACACAATGCTTTCATGCACGTTGACATGTACATTGAATTCATTTCCACTGCGCCACTCCGTGGCTCAAGACTACTGCATACCTGCGTAGAAAAAGAGAGTGTAGCTTGCGCTGACTGACCACAAGTGTTACAGTAGTATCCAGGGCTCCCTCAATACGGGGATTGCTACCTCAAAGTGGTAGCGGAGCCTGTGCCTTCGTCAAGTTCCGATCCCGCGTGCCGAACTGTTGTTCTTTGCACTCGATCCGTATATCGGACTTGCGGAGGCAACTTGTAGGTCTAATTCGAGTAGCTGCCATGGCCTTAATCCACAACATGGAGTCAGATGAAGAACAACTCCAAATTGTTTCTTATGAAGAGCCTGAAGCATATGCCGCTGCCAGTCATTCGAAAAACCGGATAGGCATCAAAATGACTCCGAAGGTTCCACCCCAATTTGATGGCCAATCTAAGTTGGTTTGAATATGAAGATTTAATTGATGACTGGCTCGGGATTACAACATTGCATGCAGGCAAGCATGGACCATCTTTAAAGAATGCCCTCATTGGTTCCGCTTCTTTTTGTAAGTCGATGCTCGACAGTGCCCTACTCCGAGATCCGGATCGTGGCCTCGCTCATTTCAAGGACACATTGAGACCCTACTTCGTGAAGGGAGTAAATCACGTGTTCCTTTGGCGATTCCTCCAGATGTTTCGCACATATCGAGGCCAGAGCGAATTCGTGCACTGGATTGGGCGTTTCGAAAGAGATGGGGGTCACATTCGCCCCTGAAAGAGGGTCACATTCGCCCCTGAACCAAAAGGGGTCACATTCGCCCCTGAACCACAAAACTTTCAATGTGGTACTCAACCCTTTAGGGTTAAACCTGGGGAAAAGGGGACATTTAGGGGGACTGGGGAACCTTTAGGGGGGACTTGGGGGCATATGGTAACTTGCCTCTCTATTCAATGTGTTGCTCAACCCTTTATAGGGTTAAACCTGGGGACAAGGCTTTAGGGGGGACTTGAGGGCATATGGTAACTTGCCTCTCTATTCAATATGTTACTCAACCCTTTAGGGTTAAACCTGGGGACAAGGGGGCATTTAGGGGGACTGGGGAACCTTTAGGGGGGACTTGGGGGCATATGGTAACTTGCCTCTCTATTCAATATGTTACTCAACCCTTTAGGGTTAGACCTGGGGACAAGGGGGCATTTAGGGGGACTGGGGAACCTTTAGGGGGGACTTGGGGGCATATGGTAACTTGCCTCTCTATTCAATACGTTACTCAACCCTTTAGGGTTTACCCTGGGGACAAGGGGGCATTTAGGGGGACTGGGGGACCTTTAGGGGCATCCAAACCGTCTTCGAAGGTGCTCGAAATGGATCTTACAACCTAGCACCCATAGTGTCCTGGAAGTTGATTGAAATGGCTCTTGGAAGGTAACATCCAAAGCGTCTTCGAAGTTGCTCGAAATGGATGTTACAACGTAGCAATGGTACACTGTAGCATCCATAGTGTCCTGGAAGTTGATTCAAATGGCTGTTGGAACGTTGCATCTGAGACGTCTTCCAAGTTGCTCGAAATGGATGTTACAACGTAGCATCCATAGCGTGCTGCTAGTTGATGGAAATGGCTGTTGGAATGTAGCATCCAAAGTGTCTTCCAAATTGCTCGAAATGGATGTTACAACGTAGCATCCATAGCGTGCTGCTAGTTGATTGAAATGGCTGTTGGAACGTAGCATCCAAAGTGTCTTCCAAGTTGCTCGAAATGGGTGTTACAACGTAGCAATGGTACACCATAGCATCCATAGTGTCCTGGAAGTTGATTGAAATGGCTGCTGGAACGTCGCATAGCACGTGAATATGACTCTCTAGGGTGGAAAAAATCCTTTTGAGGCTCTGAAACTATTGCACCTGCCACGCAAAAGCGGGGGTCACATTCGCCCCTGAACGAGGGTCACATTCGCCCCTGAACCCACTTCATCGCACTTCATTCAGGGGCAAGTGCGACCCAACATGGTTCAGGGGCAAATGCGACCCCCGTGCCTTTCGAAATCGCGCAGAAGCGTTTGTTGGCTTCTTGGTCCGACCTGCTAGACTTATCCGATCTCCCGGAAGCAGGCACTCAGGCATTCAGCACTCACCGATGAGCAAAGACTGCAGTATAACCAAATAGCAGCAGATGAAGATAAACTTGCATATCAACAGGAACTTCGAGAACAAACCATAACAAATATAAGGACCAGACATGCCGCACAATTTCCATTGTCAGACAATTTGATGTCACTGATTTTCTTTAGTCCAAGCAGACCTCAACGAGCAACAACGAGAGCGTTTTGTCTCGTCCATGAACATCCGACAGATAGCAATGCCTCAATATACTTATCTCCAAGTGAAACAGCTGTTCTTAGAACTTTTTGCCGTTTCTCGCACAGGTGTCGCAGACCCAAATATCACGCACCGCAAGCGGTCCACTTTCTACGTCCTCGAGGAAGGCGAGACCGAAGAGGGTGTATACGGATTCTGGGTCTTGGATGAAGAGACGCGTGAAGAAGGTTTCACAGGTCTGTATACAGAGAACGAGTTCTGGGTTCTAGGCGCTAAGGGTTCATACTCCAAGCGCCGTATTCACGGCCGGTCCTTCAAGAAAGGTAAACCAAAAGGTTATGGAAAGAAAGGAGGAAAAAGATCAAGACCCGGCTTCCGAGCGAAGTCAAAAGGAAAAGGCTATGCAGCATGGGAAGGTGACCAGCAAGACACAGCTTTCTGGGGAAAAGGCACAGGAAAAGGCAAAAAGGGCAAGAAAGGAATGAAAGGTAAGGATTCTTTCAAAGGAATGCCTTCATGGAAGGGCAAAGGCAAAGGAGATGGAAAGAGCAAAGGAGGTAAACCATTTGAACAACAACAGCCTCCACAAGCAAACATTGCACAGACAGCATCTTCTAGTGCCTCACAATCCCCCGAAAAACAAGAAACAGCCCATGCCGAAGGAAGCTGGAGTTATTACTATGACACCTACTGGACAGATGACTGGTCAGGATATGAATCCTATTAATATGGATACGATGGAGATTACTCCCAAGGTGATTGGTACAATTGGTCTTACTTTGCTTCCGCTAAGGAACTGACCGAATCCGAGGACAAGCATTCAGAAAGTTCAGACGTCATTTCTGAGGACGGACAGACGGACCAGATCAACCGGTTCTGTTTTTCGGCCATTTGCTTGTTCCGATTTCTCGGACACGAACTTGTAGAAGCCTTCGCATTCGTGCTTCTGTTCGTGTCTTTGATGTACCAGTGCTTTGCAGATTTGAACAGGTCTTTGTTGAAGAGCATCCGCCATGTTGAGGACAGTGTTTCTACCGAATCCGGTGACCTGCATTCGTTCCGACAGCACACATGCCCACTCAATTCCGTCACAACGGAAGAGTGTGTATTTCTCAATTATGATCATGGTGCCCAACAAGCATTGCATTGTGAGTATGTAGATCTCGGTTCTCATCCGACTTATGTTATTCTTGATTCAGGCTGTACCAGAGCTATGGGGTCCCGCTTTGCCATTGAACGCCTTGTACAGGCTTGCCAACAGCATCCGAAGCGTGATCACATCTGGTTTTCCAAGCAACCTTGTTCAAGTAAATTTTCATTTGCAAATGGAGAACAATCTACAGTCAAAGAAAGATCGGTTATTCACTTTCGCAATGATCATGCACACACTGGTTGGATCACAACATGCGTTGACATTCTGGACAAAGGTAAAGTTCCCATACTCTTTTCAGTTGAGCAAATGCGGAACCTTCGCATGAACATTGAACACACTCCTGTAGGTGAGTTTCTGACTTGTCCACCTTTTGGAATGCAACGCGCCGCCTTGGCGGTCAGAACATCCAACCATCCAGTCCTTGACATTGTGGCTCTTGCAACTTCAAGTCGGAAGCCGATGCACAGCTTTCAGTCCGAAGACATCACATGCCCAGCATGTAACGGTAAACATTGTCCACACACAAACAAGGAAGGTTGCAAGAAGTTCAAGGGGTCAGAACACAAATCAGCACAAGAGCCGAAACCGGCCAAGTCTGATTCCAAGAAAAATGTCAAGAAGTTTATTCAGCCTGATAGCAAGTTAGAAGTACCGAGTCAGCCTTTTGATCCTGATGATGAGCCTATGGTGGCCTCTGGACCAAGTTCCGGTTCCAAGGACGGAGTCAATAGACGTCGGGAACCTCAGATTGAAGAAGACACAGAAATCAAACCGGAACCAAAGGCTGAGGTAAAACTTGAAGAAAAGAAGGAACCGTCACCTAAAGGAACATTGTCACTTGCACTTCAGAAAATTCATGATAAGCTTCAATCACCAACTGAACTTCTCAAATTACACTTGAAGCATTATCACATGACAACCGAACAATTCAAGAGAAGAACATCAGCTCTGAAGTTGCCAAAGGAAATGTATGACAAGTTTGACCAGATTACCAAATCATGTGACACCTGCTCCAAGGCCAAAATTGCACCCTCAAGAGCTAAGGTTTCAGGAATTCGAAGTGAGTTTTTTTGGTGAACTTACTTTCATTGATCACGGAGAAGTTTCTATCAATCCTCAGTCAAAACTTCAATTCCTACTTTTGTACGATGGTGCAACTTCTTTGACTACTGCTTTTGTAGTTCAAAACAGGTCTGATC